ACGATACTGCATTCTCGGTTTAGGAGGTCGCCCTCTGCCTGATGGTCGAGGAACAGGCATCACTCGATGCTCGACGATCTGGTCAATGTCCACTTCGCCATCCATGGTTGGGGGCAGCATTGATCTTCTGGAAGGGAACTGCTCAGTAGCAGCATAGGGTGCTAACTTAGAGGCATGGAACACAGGGTAGGTACGCAAGTGAGGTGGGATGCGGATTACATATGAAGGACCATCTGGTTGATCTCCTACAACGTCTAAGATCTCCCAGGGCCCAAAGAACTGCGGCATCAGCTTGCGGGATATGCCTAACTCCTGACCAAGCTCAGCAGCCTTAATCCAGACTTTCTCGCCTACCTGAAAGTTAGAGGGCCGTCTGTGTCTATTCTCAGATGCAATCATTGCCTCTTGAGATTTCCTAATGTGTTCAACGGCCTGCTGCAGCATCTGTTCGTACTTGACAGCAAACTCTATGTTGTCGGGTGCTGCAGTGGGTTCTCTTTCTGGTAGCAGAAAGTCAAGGGCGGTTCGGGGCTTCCAACCAAGATGCAGTTGGTTGGGAGTCATGCCGGTAGTACTATGCACATCATTGTTGTACAGGCTGGCAACGAGAGGTAGTTTCTCGTCCCAGTCGTCCTGACTTGGCTTGATATAGTGCCTAAGCAATTGTTGTACTACTCAGTTCATTTGTTCTGCTTGCCCATTTGACTCAGGATGATTTCCTGAAGTCATTTGGAGTTTTCTGCCCATTTGTTCAGCAGTAGACTGCCACAGTTCGCTCGTGAATCTGACATCCCTATTGCTAACAATAGACGTAGGTAGACCGAAGTCTCTTACCCAGTTATCCATGAAAAGTTTGATGACAAAGTCAGTTTTAGCAATTTCAGGCATAGCGATCAGTCTGGCGTACTTGGTAAATCGGTCCACTATGACAAAGATGTGTCTTTTTCCTATCCTGCTGGTCACAATGGTATCCATGAAATCCATGGACACACTCTGGCTGGGTCCCTCAGGGATCGGCAAGGGTTTGATCAACCCAAGCGGAGCCTGGGTCCTTGGTTTGTCCCTTTGACAAACCTGGCAGGTTTCAACATAACGTTTTGCATCTTCCAACATAGAAGGCCACCAAAATCTCTTCACTAAGTTCGCTGATGTCTTTCTATAGCCAAAATGACCAGTTGCATCATGATATTCTCCTAAAAATAAACTACGCAAAGACTCACTATTAGCAACACATAGTCTTTTATTTCTTGCCTTCTCAAGGAACAGCAAGCCATCTACCATTGTAAATTCGTCCAAAGTCTTCTTGTCCTTTGCTGGGAATCTACGGATGATTTCTGACATGACTGAGTCTCCCTGATAGGCTTCCACCAGCGATCGAGTGAGTTCGTCAGATATGCCAAACTCAGTGACTAGCGCGCCCAGATAATCTGCCCTTCGTGATAGTGCATCAGCCACCTTGTTATACGTACCCTTGATAGGATCAAGTTGATAGTCATACATGTCTATCACTTGAATCCATCTCTTGAGTGCGTCTAACAACACAGGCTGTGTCTTAATCCAGCGCAAAGTCTCATGGTCAGACCTCACATAGAAGAATCTTCCGAGGAGGTTGTGTCTCCAATGGACTAGCGCTCTGTATAGGGCGTAGAGCTCTCTCTCATACGTGGACTTAGCTAACTTTTAAGATGACATCTTCTTGCTCATATACTCGATCTGTCTCAACTCGGGCCCTTCCTGTTGCGCAAGGACCGCGCCTATGCCATATTGGCTGGCGTTTCTGGTCACAACAAATGGCTTGTCAGGATCAGGAAGTTTGAGAACTTCATAGTGTGTTAGAGCATACTTCAATTTCTTGAAGCTTGCCTCACACTCTTCAGTCCACTCCCAAGGGGTGTCAAGTCGAGTTAGATCTGTTAATGGGGAAGCTATAGTACTATAGTTTTTCACGAATGGACGATAATAGCCTGTCATCCCCCAAAACGATCTGACCTCAGTAACAGTCTGAGGTCTAGGCCAGTCACGTATGCTGGCCACCTTTGCATCTTCCGGCCTCAATCCATCTGCTGAAATTTCATGACCCAAGTACAGGATCTTGGTGCGACCAAACTCGCATTTATCCAAGTTCACCTTGTACTGGTGCTGTCTTAGGAGACCTAGCACTATTTTCAAGTGCTCAGCGTGCTCCTCTACAATCCTACTAAAGATGAGAATATCGTTGAGGTACACGACGATAAACTTGTCCAAGTAGTCATGAAAAATCTCGTTCATCGCGTCCTGGAACGTACCAGGCGCATTGCATAGGCCAAACGACATCACCACAAACTCGTACAGACCGTACCTGGTCTGAAATGCGGTTTTGTGATGATCCTAAGGTCTAACGACAATTTGATGGTATCCGGACTTCAAATCTATCTTTGTGAAGTACCGGCATCCCTGCACTCTATCCAAGAGGTCGTCAATGCGGGGTAGGGGCTCCGCGTTCTTAACGGTGATGGCATTGAGGCCCCTATAGTCAATGCACATCCTTAATGAACCTCCCTTCTTTGGGACAAATAACACTGGCGCACCTTAAGGGGAGGTACTAGGCCGTATCCATCCCTTCTCTATGAGCTCCTTGAGCTGGCGGCGAAGCTCATCTAACTCTGCGGGAGACATCCTATAGATTCGTCCTCTAGGCACCTTACTACCTGGGACAACCTCTATCGCATGTACAACCTCCCTTTCCACCACGCCTGTGGGCTCCTAAAAAAGGTCTGAATATTGTGCGACGACTCTTTCTATCTCTGGGGGTGTTTTAACGGCCTCCCCTTTCTCAGAGACAAAGACTAGATACATGCCCTCCTCTCGATTCTGCTTATAGTAGTTATAGAAGAATGAAGCGCACATACACCCGTAGTTTTCTATTAGACTGCTAGCTTTATACTTCTGCAATCTAACAGTTCTACCATTGGGCAACTTGTGAATCAACACCTTTCTATCCCAGTCAAACTGCGGTTGCGCGACCTCGAGGAAGTACATACCTAGGAGCATATCAAAGGGCAGTTCGTCGCTAACCAGGAAGGAGATCTTGTGGATCACTTCCCCTCCTTCATAGGAGAAGGTGCAGGTTACGTCCTTGACATAGTCTTTTACCACCATTTGGTGCTTGTTGGCTAGCGTAGAAGCTACAGTTCTGCTAAGCCGCTGCACTTGGTCCCCTAAGCGCAATCTATCCACACAAGCACGACTGATGAAATTTCGTGTAGAGCCTATGCCTGCGAAGGCGCCAACTTTGCGGCCACCGTCGGCTTCGAGCGAGACCCTTCAATTGCGGTCTTCGCCGGTCCCCGGTCTTAGGAATCTTTTATTTTGATTCGGAACAGCAGAGAATTATGCAAATAGTAATCATAAAATTATGGGGTGCTGTGCATGCATCAGTTATGTCGATCTGATTTTGAGAACTGTGACAAAAGATCCGCAAAGACAATCATCGAACAAAAATAATGCAAAAATTAAGACTGATTGACTCGAGCAAAGACAGGGGCAATTGAGTGAGGGAAGAATGAGAACTCATAATAATCTCAGAAAGTACACATAAATGAGCATGGTCAACACTTCTCAAGAGTCCTCATTCATCCCTCTGGTCAGTCTCTCTCAATCTCTCTTTTCACTGATCTTCTCTGGTGCCGAGACCCACGCCCATGTACAGTCGGAGACTGAGGCTTCGTGACAAAATGCCACCTGTAGCCAGCGAGCTCCGAGCATGACCAACCGAGGCACATAACACGGTAATTAACCATAGAGCAAAACTCCTCCCACAATGTAGGCAGCCCGTCCACTGAGAAGACTCCCCGTCTAAGGTAGGGATACTTGGTGGGCTCGGTCAGCGCCTCAACATCGATCACTGCTGGGGAGATGTACCTCTTTGCCAGACCAACCACATCCAGCCAACTCGTACCATCAGTGAGAAGAGAAGGGACTGGAGGCCTAGGATAGTCTGTATAAAGCATTGGCCCGAAGCTGCGGATTAGCGTAGCGCCACTCTCGTCAAGCTCCCTCTCCCTCTGCTCAAGGTATTCAGTGGCTGAGATCCAGACCGGATCGAAGTGCTCATGAGTCTCCTTGCCCTTCTTCAGGTAAGGCCTCAGATCGTGGATAGTGCCATCAACAAAACTGGTCTGGACAATGAAGATAGACAGATCTACCTGTCTGAAGCCAGTAGCACTAACATATTGATAGTGAAATGCCTCTTTGCATGAGATCCGATTGAGGTTGGCCAGCACTGACTCACTGACCGGTGCAGACTGAACTGTGCTCATGAGTACCCCTCCCAGTGTAGGCTGACCAGATGGCCCTGGAGAGCTGGTTACCTGAACTGATTACAGAAAGCTGTTTGCTGAAAGGTGAATGCCGGCAACTGAATGCCGAGGACTGAGTTCTGAAGACTAATGCTGAAGACTGATTGCTGGAAGATTAATACTGAAGAACTGACTACCAAGAAATTACTGTTGGAAACTGATTGCCAAGAAATTACTGCTGGAAACTGATTACCAAGAAATTACTGCCGGAAACTGATTACCGGGAACTGATTGCTGCCGTAGAACTGACGGCTGTTGAGATTACTGGCTACTGAGTCAAATGCTGATTATTTTCTGAATTGCTGGTTTGTTGATGATTACCGTGTCATAAATGTTTGCTATTTATCCTCGTGTCTTGCAGGTTTGCAGTATTTCTGGTAGCTACTAGTTTCCAACCTGACCCAATCTTATCTTACTCACTCCCTGCCTGGTGCAATTTCATTTTACTTGTATCTGCAAATGGTTCTCTGTGCCTCCTCAACAGAACCCACAGATGAGATAGTTGCACACAATCTTCCGCTCTTGTCATACAGATAGTAGGTGTATTCAATTTTTGTATGGTGTCTTACGAGTGTCAGCGCGTGCTCCATCATGACGGTAGTCTGGCAATTATAGTCATCGGTTGCTGTCTCCCTCCAATCCCTTGTTGATGCTTGATGCAACGAGCAAGCCACTCTAACTGTATCACTCTCCCCCATCTCTTCTCTGAGTTTCCCACTGTTTGGTTACCAGTTGACTGCTGCTGCTGAGATTGCCGCTCAGAAGTGTCGTTCTGAATGCAGTCCCAAGTACCGCCCTGGGAACCGTTCAAAGTACAGTTCTGAGTACAACTCTGAGTACAGTTCCAAGTACAGTCTGAGTACTGTCCCGAATACTGAGTTGAAACACTAATCTGAATATGGCCCTGAGTGCCAAGTTTGAACCCTGATTTGAATACCGCTAAGGGTTTCAGTAACCCGAGTGCCCTGTTCGAAAACCGTCTGCTCTTTTTCTTTTTACTGCTCAGCCTCTGCCCTCGCTTGCTCGACTGTTTCTAATTGAGAGAGACTGCTGTGCGGTTTCCCATCAAGTCCGTAGAAGTAAATTACATATTAAATGTACTTCCTTTTCCAACTATCTCAACAGCAAACTTTCTCTGAATCATTCTGTGTTTCTCCAGGTCCTTGTGTGCCTCTTCCTCCCAGCCTTCCCCCTTGTCTCTGTTGGATCTGCTTTTAATTACTAGAATCTCATCCTCTTTCATGATTCCCTTGTTACTTCGTGATTTAAACCACAACCTGAACGAGATATGCGAAGTTGGTGTGCCTCGACCACTGTCTCCCATGACTTGACCTGGTCCCCGCCCACCTGCTCGTGAGCCTGCATTGTCATGTCTGGCTTAAGCTCTTACATAAACTAGCTCACCGCCAGACTAGTGGGTAGTCCTGAGTCGACATCCGTGCAGCCCCTTTTTCGCCGAGGGCACACACGCTTGATTGGTCAGTTTATAGCCAGGAACAGCCTGCCCCTCTCCATGATAAGCTAACTTTGTTGTAAGACTTGAAATTGTGCACGATACTGAGTATCACTTGAGGACATTAAGGTATCCGGTATCGCTCAGGAGACATGATCCCAGAGTCGATCGTGCACAGCAACAGACATCCGACACTCAACCCTCAGATGAGAGCCAGACTTCTAGGACTCAGCTGATACAGCATCACCGCCCCTTTTCTCACGCGTACAGAACTTAAGAAAAGTTCTTGACTCTGTCTCTTGGTCTAATCAGCTTAGTACGGAGCTCAGTAATACACAAACTCAGTTCATTCGTCACACAGAAGACGTTTCCGCACGTGGACGGGGTAAAACGTGCAGTGTACAACGTTTCAGTTGCGTTCCGACTTAAAACATTGTTACTCTCAGGGCGAGAGCTCAAACTAGCTTCCCACCTCTGCATAAACGAATTTTAAATAACTCGACTTATATATATATATATGTGTGTATATATATATATATATGTATTAATTCATAACGGTCTCAAACAACCCAATCCTTTATTATGCAGTCATCGAAACCCATATTCCCATTTAATCAGTGCTTCACCAGAAAAGAGGGGTATCCCCCTACTCAGAGCTTCACGTACCTCACTGAATAAGTATCAAGGTCAGTCCCCGTCAATCAGGAACTTCACGAGTAAGTAAGCGACTTTTCTAAGCACAGCGTACCTCCCTCCCATCAAGCCACAACAAACATTTTAGGTGTCTTTCAAGTTTGAGAACTTTTGTCCCTTTGTAGAAGAAGTGGACTCTGAATGACAAACCAGGGCCTTTCTGACGAGCACAGTGAGCTCAGTGCTCGCCGAAAGGTTTACCAGGGTCAGTTGTCAGCCCTTAGGCGGATGAGATAGCAGAGACTTCCGAATTACTGTAATCACCCAAACGCGTTATGGACATAAGATCCGGGCGGAAAGCAAAGGGCTAAAAGGGAGTATAGGAAGGGAACTTCACCACGCGCAAGCTCATCGCAGTCCAGAAACAGTCTCAAGGTCAGCGGCCTTTCTAACATTCCAGTAGGGCACTTATACCGAATGAGAAAAAGTGGCCTCCAACGGAGCCTAAGTCTTAGACAAAAATCCTCTAAAAGTATGATCAGTCACTCTTACGTGGCGATTATTCAGCAAATCATTCACCACGGGCGTGCACTTTGCCCGACGAATTGAAGACGATCATTCGATTAAACGACACATTATGAAATGACGGCGTTATCACACCAGAAGTGACTGCTTTCCCCACAGTGCTCGCTACATGGAGCAAACTACCAGAGATACCATGATCTGTGACAAGTGTGTTCACAGAAGAGCTAAGAGGGTCTTAACAGCCAAAGTGAAATCCACGCAAAACACACTGAGTCTCATTCGTTCCAGAGTTTACCTGATGGTTCTGACTCTTCCATCACTAATTATTCTTACAACCATCATGGCTCCCTTCATGCAAGGTCCTCTTTAATAATTCGGGGAATTGATCATTAACAGTCGCAGGAATGTACCCTGAGCAAACGAGAGCACAAAGAACAATGCCTGGAAATAAGCCAAGAAGTAAACCAAAAAAAGGCCTTCAGTTCTCACGAGCCAACCGACGGTGAACATCAGAGATAGATGATGTCGACTGCTTAGTTATGAGGCGACTACTCAATAGAGACCTTCCATAAGCTGATCGCCTAATCATGCGAAGAAGAAAACGATAACCTCAAGTCTTGATTCCCCCGCTTAGAGCTTGCTCCACATGCTCAGCACCACCCAGGAGATCGTGACCACTTAGCATCTCTAAATCACATTATTGGGGACATCCCCGATTGCGCTGGGAACTGACCCGCACAAAAATGGCGCTTCTCAAAAAAAAGAAGGGAAGAAAATTGGGCATACGGAAACGACGTGTCCTCGCATGTCCAGGCAAGCAAACCCTTGTACCGAGAGTAATAGGGAAACAGATATCCCTCTCTGGATGACAACTAAAATGCACTATGTGGAGGTAAGGGCAACACCAATCAACACCATACGTGCGAAAACCTCCCTCAAATCTCCTCTCCTCTTTCACCCTTCTCTCTCTCTGGCCAACTATAATCAGCTCGTGCATCACACGAACGCGTAGATGGTAGATACCGTCAGACACTTTGCGCGTGTGCCCCTCTCTCTCCTCTCAGTCTTTGACCTTCTCTTATTATCTTAGCCTGCCACTTGTAGCCTGCACACGCACTCGAATGGCGTGTGCC